AAAAAAAAAAAAAAAAAAAAAAAAAAAAAAAAAAAAAAAAAAAAATCCCTTTTTTATTACGTTTATTAACTTTATTTTTATTAAAGTACTTGGTTTTTGAATTTTTTTCGTTTTTTATTTTTCTTTTTCAACCAGAAAAACACTTCTTAATCCAAAAAAAAAGGGTTGTAGGGATTTTCGAACCCTACAACCTCATATTTTTTGTTTTTGTTTTGGTCCATTATTTGTTTTTTTTTCGAATATGTCAAATTCTCGGCCGCGCCCAACTGCTCGGGCCATGGCTGGCGGTCGGGATCCCGACCGCAATCCGAGTTTGACCCCACGGTCATGACTGCGGGGGATTCATAGACTGTAATAGCTTACCTGTGTCAGCCCCCCCCTCTGCACAAAGGTGCAGAGTTTTGAACCCACAACCTCAGACCACAATGCGCATTTACAACTGGTGCCCTAACCACTGAACCACGAGTATTGACAGATAGAGGAGAGGGGGGGTGCTTCATCTTTGTGTTCTTTCAAACGCCATTTCTGGCACATTTCTTTCCCTCGGGCGAGTTTTGGCCCAGTCCCCCCCAACTTGTGTGGTCATTTGGACGTTTTCAGACGATTAAACACTTCAAGAGTTATGGTCCTGAGAGAATTAAGACACTTACAATCATCAGTACTTTGCACAGGATTCTCACTAACACCACACTGCAGCGGGATACGATTGACATTATTAAACTGTTTTTTACTGAAGCAACTCTTTTGGGCTACCCACCTCATGTTCTCAGGCAGGCAGTCCTGACACTCCGGCGTACAAAGCTGAGACGCAAAGTAGCAACGGAGTTACTTCGTTGGATCGCACACAGGAAACAGTCTTCGTAAAGACTGGCAAGGAGGGTCGGAACACTACTGGGTTGGCACGACGGATAAGCAGTCACGTCACGCGAAAGGAGTACGATCACTGACACTTCGGGTCGTGCAAATTGGTGATTTTGAGAAGGTGCATCTGCATCTGGTCACGTGACATTGGCCGACAATTTTTTCTGATTCAAAGAGGAAGTACCTTCGGAGTTGGTCTGCAGCAAAGGGTCGTAAGGAAAGTACCGTGCAAAGTACTGATGCCAGACGGTTGATGTTTCAACCGAAAAATCTTTTTGGGCTCATCGGTAATACGGAAGTACGGGTAACACACATTTTTTGAATGCCAATTTTCGGCACGGACGTTGAATCTGCGGAGGATTTTGTGATTTCCGGGCACTCTGCATCTGGTCACGTAAAATCGGCAGATAAATGTTTTTTGGAGCAAGTACCCGTGGAATTGGTCGGCAGCACGGGGTCGTGAAGGCAGCACTGTGCAGGGTACTGTCACCAAACGGTTGATTTTTTGGGGCTCAATGTGATTTGGGAACGTATTTAGTCGCTTTTTTCAATGATGATCTGGATCTAGACAGGGTTGTAGTTTAAGGAGAGGCGATCTACGGTGATCTTAGGAAGTGCGGAAGACTGGGCGGAGAATTTTTGGCAAGGACCTCGTACTGGTCGATAGAGCTTATCTATGAATCTGCTTTCATACAGCCTATCTTGAGCATACGGGAAATTATACCCGTACTGGTCGATAGAGCAAACCTCCAGTTGATCACCAGTTGGCAGAATTTTTGAAGTTGTGTGTCTCTGTGTAGGGTAAGTGAGCGGCGCACCACTGAACGTTATCGTTCGAGATTGAGCCATTCCAATTGGTATATTGGATGGTGTATCAACTTACGCTGGGAGCTTACGCAGGCGGGAGCGGGATGCACAATACGCTTTGGTGATTATTGATTGCGATGATTGCTTCGTGGATTTGTTTATCTTTTTGAAGTTTCATGGCTCTGCTTTTCGTATTCTTGTATTTAAGTATGGCAGGACAAGGAGGTGTTACGTAGCAGTTCAAGGGAGCGGGATGCATAATATGCTTCGGTGATACTGATTGCGAGGATGGCTTCGTGGGATCTGTTAATCTTTTCGAAGTTTCACGGCGCTGCTTTGCGTATTCATGTATTTAAGTGTAGCAGTTCAAAGAGGTGTTACGTTACACTGAAGTTTGGTGTGATTTGTTTGTAATTCGCCCGCGATATGTTGGGCTGTACATACAATATTTGTGTCATTGACATTCGGCTTTGAGGCCCACGTAAAAGGTTTTACGGATTGCGTCTCCATCTTGCTACTCGTCACTATTAGCCTATTAGCTTTCAGGGTGATATTTTTTCCAATTGCGGTGAAATTTGGCGATTCATTTGTTTTTTTCTGACTTTAAATATACGTTGTTTTGGTGCACACTTCTCTTACCAGCATAAACTACCGTGGATGTATTCTGAAGGATGGGACGTTCAAGGTCAAGATCGAGGTCGCGTTCCGAATCTCCGGGCCGTAAGAAGAGGAGGGATGAATCGAGGAAGGGAAGATCACCAGAAAGGAGATCGATCAGATCTCCTGGTAGATCGCACGAGTACAAGCGGCGAGACAGGCATAAATCGAGATCATCGTCACCTTCAAGTAGGCGACGAAGGAGAAGCAGATCACGTGATCGGGAGGAGAAGCGTTTTGAGTTCCCATACAACAAGCCAGCGTCGGACAATCGTGCTTGGTTCACAATGGAGCTTCGTGATGAGCTTTATGCTCTTCGACGTGAGTTGGACAAGCTAAAGAAGAAGGTGGACAAGTTGTTTGATGATTTCAAGGAGGAAGTGGATCGGCGCAAGATGGAGTGTGTCAACTCGCTTCAGATGAAGCAAGCACTGGACACAGCTATTCGAGAATCGAACGTATCTCAGGTAGTCACGAAGCCGCCTGGAGCTACCACGAAGACGCAGCGCGATGACAAGAAGAAGGCGGATGATTTCGCCAAGGTGAGTAGTGACATGCAGACTCTTCGACGCCAGATGGAAGACATGCAAGATTTGCGTTATCAACTGGCAGTGATTCAAACCACTATCAATACTCCTGCGCGAAGACCGTTTATCTCTCCAAGACAGAAGGTATTGTCTGTGAGCAAGACTCCGAAGAAGGTCACACCGAGCCGCAGTGCAGCTGCACCCAGCAGGAAGAAACCAGCGGGAAACATGGACTTACGATGTAGTATTGTCCGTTCATCGGCCAGGAGAAGACTCCTCAGCGGGAAACAGATCACGGAGAAGATGCTTAGCGCGCTGCAGATGGAGGACCTGAAGCAGTTATGTGTGAAGCACAACGTCAAATACAAGGGCATGCCGCAGGCGAGAGTTGCATTGAGGAAAGTTCCAGGACTAGTCGTAGCCATCACGGAAGATTTGTTGGATGTGGATGAAGACGGTGAGGAGGTACAAGGCAGGGATCAATCGGAAGAGGATCCTACGCAAGTATCAAGATCATCGGAGGAAGGACTTCTCCGAGGAGGTCGAAGATTCAGAAGATCAGGGTAATTCCAATCAACTTCAGCCTTCTACTAACTAGCAACTGACGCGCATGACGTACACGAGCCTGCCAGATGACGCAATCTGGGGGCTGGTCCGACAGTGTAGTAAGTTACTTGGTAAGTATGTGACGCTGAAAATGTGCTGTGGTCAATTGGGCTTACCGTGTCGGGGAATTAGCATTACTGCAACGACGACTGATATCTTGGGGTGTCAGATTTTATGGGTTGATTCAGCAACTCCATGTCGATTGGGATTGTCTGTTACAGACTAAGTATTGTGTTTACGCTTGATTTTCGCCTTGGTGTAGACATTTTTATATCGGAAAGACGGTTAGGGGTATTGATGTACGATGGAAGGAGCATGCTTCAGCAGTACTGAGGAGGGAGAAGAAGCAGCACAGGGTGCTATACTCCTGGGTTTGTAAGTTTGGGATAGAGTTGTACATTTGTATTCCGATGTGGACGGGCAGTTCCTCAGACATTGAGGCAGTCGAGCGTAAGCTCATTCAAAAATGGAACCCGTACCTGAACACGGTCCATAGACGGAAAAGGTACGGACGAAAATACAGACACGGTACTAGGACTAAGGGAGCAATTTACAGCTCGGTGGAGCGTCCGCTGACCTTCACAAACGGGGATTTAACCACAACGAGGCTATCCATACTAATTAAACCACATGCGGATATTCAGTCGTACGGTGGTAATGTTTGGATTGAAGACTAGAAGGTCGTGAAGAGGGTATTCGGCGAGAGTGTCGTACTTATCAGTGACTACAAGTGGTGTCTCAAGGAGTGCAAGGCCGTTATTGAAACTGGTTGTAGGCTGACGGCTGTATGCTGCGTTAAGAATTTGAGTGTGAGAGCAAGTATCAGGAAGAGACTCATTGGAATGCTTCGTTCTCCATGGATCAGAGCACATCTATACAGATACTCTCTGACCCGCATCATTGGTTTGTATTCAGGCATGCGGGTGATCACGTCAAAGAAGAGCAGGGGCATACTCAGGGGCTGCATATCCAGAGTTGCAAGCAAGAAATTTGGTGTGAACATCAGGCGCCGACTGACATTGAGAATTCCATTCTCGACTGACATTAACCTCACACTAGTGCGCACTATGCTGCAATCGGCGATTTAGGACAGAATAACGCACAAGGCGCTGGCGTTAACACTGGCAAAACAATCTAGGGTTATGTTCGCGAAGTCCAAGACTATCGCGGATATCCTACATAATCATTGCAAGATGATTGTGGAGCAACCTGACTGTCCATGTCTACGACTGGATCTCCCGAAATTGAATGACCACGTCTCCTTCAGGCTGTCTGACGTATGTACTAATAAACTGATTGTGAACTCAAAGAATGTACCCTACTATAAGGGGGAAGACAGTATGAAGGCGATATTGAGATCAACTGAAATCCTTTTGTCTTCTCTCCCTCACAAGTATTGCAGTACTAATCCCACGAGATTGGCTGTTGACGGGTGTGTTAAGCAAGGCATGGAATCCGTTACAGGGGTTTGCATTGCTGAAGTACTGAAATGGAAGAAGAAGCTGCGTGATCTGGTATGCTCTCCACTGGATCGGAACCCAGGAGAAATGTACGTAGAATGTCCCCACATCTTCTGGAAGAAAATGAATACGATGTTTATAAGCGTGCCTAACTATTCCGCACTGAATATAAGCATACCTGATATCCTTGATCAGAGTATGATGACGTATAAGAAAATGGGACTAACAAAGATTGCACCTTGGAATAAGCAAGGCACGTACGGACATGCGTATGTTATGCCCAAGGAGAAGGATATCCTCAAACGTCGTCCAATTGTGAGGACATTCGAAGAACCTTTTCTTCGAGCATCAAAAATCCTGTCCAGATGTGTTAATTTTCTGGTTAGGGAGCTGAAACAGGGTTTTGGGATTGCTGGCACGAATGAACTTGTTCCACGAATTTCAGAATTAAATGGTCGGACGAAAGAAATGCAGAGTGATAGCATTCTGTGTTCAACTTTCGACGTTAAGGACATGTTCACGTGCCTGGATCATTCGCATATTTTAAGGGCTGCAGATTGGATGGTCAGTAAGCATCTTGAACGGAAGCACACTCACATCAGGATTAAACTGCAAGGAAAGAAGATTGGGTTTGGGAAAGCTAAAGACATATGGGGATGGAAGACCATCAAACTGCGGGATCTGCCTATTCTGCTGCAGTTTGATATTTCTCATTCCTATTTTCAGGTTCAAGGGACGTTACTTAAGCAGATACAGGGCATTCCAATGGGTAAAGGATCCAGTCCTCCAATCGCAAATTTAGTTTGCGATTATGACGAGTATCTGTGGAAGTGTTCCCTTGGGATTGACGAGAAATTGATTCATGGGTTAAGATTCGTTGATGATGTTTTTCTTGCTGTTATTGAGAAGGAAGGGGACCAGCATAAGGCGTTGCAGATGATCCAGGACTTCAAAATATGTTATCATCCATCACTGAAACTGGAATGTACTGCGGAAGAAAGTGCGACTGAATTAAAATATTTGGAAACAACTATGTGCAAACAAGAAACCGGACCCCTCTTGAAGTGTTTACATCGTTTAAAGAATTACGAATCACTCCGGGAGGGGTCATTTGGACGTTTTCAGACGATTAAACACTTCAAGAGTTATGATCCTGAGAGAATTAAGACACTTACAATCATCAGTACTTTGCACAGGATTCTTACCAACACCACACTGCAGCGGGATACGACTGACATTATTAAACTGTTTTTTACTGAAGCAACTCTGCTGGGCTACCCACCTCATGTTCTCAGGCAAGCAGTCCTGACACTCCGGCGTACAAAGCTGAGGCGCAAAGTAGCAGCGGAGTTACTTCGTTGGATCGCACACAGGAAACAGTCTTCGTAAAGACTGGCAGGGAGGGTCGGAACACTACTGGGTTGGCACGATGGATAAGCAGTCACGTCACGTGAAAGGAGTACGATCACTGACACTTCGGGTCGTGCAAATTGGTGATTTTGAGAAGGTGCATCTGCATCTGGTCACGTGACATTGGCCGACAGTTTTTTCTGATTCAAAGAGGAAGTACCTTCGGAGTTGGTCTGCAGCAAAGGGTCGTAAGGAAAGTACCGTGCAAAGTACTGACGCCAGACGGTTGATGTTTCAACCGAAAAATCTTTTTGGCTCATCGGTAATACGGAAGTACGGGTAGCACACATTTTTTGAATGCCAATTTTCGGCACGGACACTGAATCTGCGGAGGATTTTGTGATTTCCAGGCACTCTGCATCTGGTCACGTAAAATCGGCAGATAAATGTGTTTTGGAGCAAGTACCCGCGGAATGGGTGGGCAGCACGGGGTCGTGAAGGCAGCACCGTGCAGGGTACTTTCACCAAACGGTTGATTTTTTTGGGCTCAATGTGATTTGGGAACGTATTTAGTCGCTTTTTTCAATGATGATCTGGATCTAGACAGGGTTGTAGTTTAGGGAGAGGCGATCTACGGTGATCTTAGGAAGTGCGGAAGACCGGCCGGAGAATGTTTTGCAAGGACCTCGTACTTTGCGGAATACAGAACTGTAGCTGAGTGCACAACTACTTAAAGGAGTAGGAAGGAGTTCTCTATCACCTGAGTGGACGAGGCAGAAGGGTGACGCTGGATGCTCGTGAGAGCATTCCAGTACTTCCTGTGTTTGGCACATTATGTCCTCCGCGAGAGTAAAGCCTCACATTTTGTGCTAATCTATGAATCTGCTCTTTTTTTTCTTTTTTTCCTTCTTCAGAAAGGGGTGACCCCTAACATTTATTGTGAACCATCTGATTAGGTCAGGACGCGAACACATGATCTATGTATTGACAGTTTCATGTGTGCACCATTTACACTGCCAAGATGCATTCACCATTTGTACTCTTTTTTTTTTTTTTTTTTTTTTTTTTCCTAATTTGGTGAGGGGTCACAGGGCATTCTCACACTGGCCCACTGGGACAAAAGACCTCAGAACTCACAAATGCGGCACACATTTGCAGTCACGATAGGGCCTCCCCTTGCCCAAACCTACTTTTTGGCACGACAGAAATGTCAGGGCACTGCCAGGCGATGCGGGTCGGTACTCTGTGGACACCTCCACAGCTGCCCGCAAATCCCTTTTTTCATTTCCTCCAAAGAATATTCAACAAGAAATTGCAGGAACTCAAGACCCCCCCCCCTCCCCAACATCCTGCTCAGTCACCTGGAACCCAGGGTAATCAATGCTGGTAGGAATATCCCGCATCTCTGTTTTTCTGATATGGTTCGAATTCTGTCCATGTAAGCGACGCTGGACCTGTTTTCCAGCGGGTGTCGCTCCCCACCAATAGATGGAGCCTCCCCCCAGGTGTTAGCGGTGTCTGCTCTTATCAGCACCACTAGCACTGACGGGGGCGTTTGTCTTAAAAAAAAAAAAAAAAAAAAAGGAACTCGAATGCCCACATCAGAACCCAATAACACCTACCAGGCTGCTGTTTACTGTCGAGCGCCGCATCTTTTAGGGCACACTCACGCATGGACCTAAAAGACCGAAATCGCAAATTTGCGACACTTTCACAGTCTCACGACCCCCGTACCGGGCGTATTTTCAAGATGAGAAATGAGAGCAGCCTTTTTTTCTTTTTTTTTCAACAAGAACAACCCGAGCAGATGCTAGGGGTGCTGATAACAGCAAACACCTCTAGCACTGACCGGGAGGCTCCATCTATTGGTGGGGGGACCAGCACCAGAAATGTCAGCAGCCTGATGGACCGTGGGGGCCAGTATTTTGCACCCACCTCTCAGGGCTTACTCACACCAGAGGCTTTTTTTTCACAAAAACAAATAAATAAATTGCTACACTTTTGCAGTCACGCTTTGCCCGCCGGCCCATCAAATTCGCAATTGGAGTGCAGATGTCAGCGGCCGGCAGGGCCGCAGGGCTCTCGGCAATTTTTCCACCGACTGCGAGTCTAGAGGTGGTCGCCTTTTTTTTTTCCCCTCTGAATCCGTGAGCTTGCAGAAGACAGCTGCAGAGGACAATGCAGATATTCCTCGGCTACTTTCGCTGTGCGAGCGCACAACTGGGCAATTTCGCAAATGGCCGTGGCAGGGCGCCGGGGCCTTGCATTTTCCAACTTGCTACTACTACTGCGTGACTGCGCGACCCACCCAAATGGCAAACAGGGTGCAGCAAACGCGGCAAATTTTGCCGTTTTACAACCCGTGTGCGAGTACGCCCTCAATGTGCCCACTAAAGCCTCAAAAAAATTGCCCTTTCTCGGGACTGCATTCCTTGTCGTTGTTGGAGTGGGGACCACTTTTTCCAAATCACTTTGTTGTCCGTGATTGTCGCTATCTTTCCCTGTAGCAGCTAGTCTGTCATGAAGATTCGTCTCCTGAGTGCGGGTCTTTCTTTGCGGTTTACCTCTCGTTGCTGCCGACACACTCCCCTCCATTTGCATCGGATCTCTGTTTCCGCGATCCTCCCTCAGCAGAAGAATCCACATTTCTTCCTTGGCCGCTTCTGAACCCTCGGTTGTCACGGTGCATCTCCTTTTCCATATGACCCACAGGGCTACCATCTTCACCTGCGTAGAACGCCTGGTTATTGCAGCTGTGTGCTATCTGGACCGAAAAGTGCACCAAACACGGCTATAATGACCGGCCGTTCTATTCGGGCGAAGACGCTAGTTTCCTGCCTGAGCATGTGCAACCCGACCGCTTTTCCTCCTCCGATACTGTCAGGGATGTTAGATAGAAGGAGGATATTCTGAGGAGGGGTGAGATTGCAGGGAGGCGATGAGAAGAGCAGGGACCATACATTTCGGACTTTGTTCCATGTCCAGGCGGCCTGACTGCAGTAGAGGAGACAGTGGGGTATGTCTTCCTTCAGGAACACTGTCACTGCACAGTACGCAGAGTTCTGATCTGCCAGAGGAGACAGCGTTTTTTTTTTTTTTTTTTTTTTTTTGGGGGGGGGGGGGGGGGGGGGGGGGGGGGGCTCACTGCGGTAGAGGAGACAGTGGGGTATGTCTTCCTTCAGGAACGCTGTCACTGCACAGTACGCTGAGTTCCGATCTGCCAGAGGAGAGGGGGGGAAGGAGGGAACAGTGAGGGGTATGTTTTCTCCTTTTGTAGAGCCACTGGTTGACGCGAAGTGCTGCATGGGCTAGGAGGAGCCATTGCATGCGACGAATTCTGGCTGGTCTGATGGGAAGAAATTTTGTCCAGGGGATGGATATTGAGACCGTCAGCTCTAGGTTCAGTATCTCTCTTCATCTGTCCTTTAGTTTGGGGTCCGGGTCTGTGGTCTATAGGCCTAGGTTGTACCCAATTTTACGTCGTATTCAAGTATCGTCCTTGTTCTTCCGGATTTGCCTTGTTTCCAGCCCTGAATTGGTTTTGCTATCCGGTGCATCTCAATTTTTACTTCAGATTCGAACGGTCGCACACTCTTCTTCCTTTACGCTTTCCCCTCGATCAAAACATGTTTGTAACTTTGTGTGTGTTTAAGATTTTCCCCACAACAGCCCCAATTCCACCACCAGGTGAATAGATTCAGAATCAAAGCAGTCTTTGTCCTATTGCAGACAATGAGAGCATTTGAGATGAGACAGTCACAGTCCAACATATTAAATAATTAAAGCAATTTTATAATTAGACAGTTTTTTGGTTGTCCTTGGGGTACCCCTTTCAATGCTTTCATTGTTCTTGCAGCTCCCCTTTTACTACTGTGCCTCTTACGCACAAGGCTGCCCACGTTGATTGTGGTTGAGCAGCCGTGTGTGTGTGTGTGTGTGTGTGTCTTCCCTGACCCTTGATGAACCACAACAATGCAACAACTGAAGGAGGGAACTGCATGTTTTTTTTTTTTTTTTTTTTTTTTTTTTTTTTTTTTTGGGTGGGGGGGGGGGGGGGGGGGGGGTTAAAAATTAAAACTTGAAAGCAAGGAAGTCCATTATCATGATGACAACCGCATGCTTGTAAGAACACTTTACAGGGTTTTTTTTTCTTTTTTTTTCTTTTTTTTTCTTTTTCCTTTTTACGTTTTTCATGTGGCTCGATGGCCCACGGATCGTATATTGAACTGATCAGAATCAGATCTACACTTTATCTTCTTTAGCCGAAAGGGCGAGCAAAATATTGAGAACACTTGACAGTTACTTTGAAGCTGAGAGACTCGAGAGTGATTTTTCACTAAGTCTTTTGAGGGAGTGGACTCGTACACCTGGAACAACCTAACCTAATCAGCCATGGAAGTTGAAAAATACTTGCTTAGAAGCCTTATAGATCCATCCAGCAAAGTGATCTCTCTCTCTCTCTCTCTCTCTCTCTCTCTCTCTCTCTCTCTCTCTCTCTCTCTCTCTCTCTCTCCAGAAGTGATACGCAGCAGCAACTGGCGCAAGACGGCAGAGGCGGACAAGAGCTGTGTCCACGGCGCACCAGTCCCACCTTTCACTCCGTTGCAACTAAAGGTCATCCTTGATTTTTTTTTGTTTTTTTTTTTAATCCTTGATTTACCGCGCCTGCTCCGTGAACCGTGCCCAACTTATCTCTGCTCAATCTCCGCAAAGTACACGCACAGAATAGCATGGACGAGATTGAGGGACTCGCTCCACCACTCACCACATGCACAAACGACAAAAAATTATGCTGGTCAAGCTGGAGGCCTTGGAGAGTCCAGCCGAGGTCCATCCGAAAAAAAAAACAGCTTCGCAGGCTGGGCACTCTCCACCAGCGGGGAGAGTGGGAGGTCTGTGACAGCTGTTTTTTTTTTTTTTTTTTTTACAGCTATGTTTTTGGATGGAGTAGGACAGTAAGTGCACTGATGCAAAACTCTCTCCGAATTCGGAGAGTGGAGAGTAGTGCAGCGAGACCCATTGGGCCTCACTGCACTACACAGCACTCTACATGCATTTGGCCGCTTTCTGGACCAGCTGCATTCGGATGAGTCCAACAGCTTTGAATGTGCCGGGTCCAGAAAGCGTCTAAATGCATGTATAGTGCTGTGTAGTGCAGCGAGGCCCATTGTCGCTTGTTGAGCCTGTGGGTTGCATCTCTAGATCGCTCTCGGAGAACTTGAAAGGCACTCTCTACTTAGGGCATACTCACACTAGCACTTTCTCACTTATTTCTGGACAGAATTGCGACCAGGTGCAGACAGATAGGGCCGTAAATGCAGTCACATACATTTGAGATAGCGCTAGTGTGAGTATGCCCTAAGCCCATCAATGCGAGTCCGCACAGCATCAAGGGGTCTATCAGTCCACACTGGCATCTAGCCTTTGTCGCGTCCAAATTTCAGTTGAAACTTGAAAGGGAAAAAAAAAATTCAAGTATTTGGAAGTTCCCTCCTGTGGGAAAAAAAAAAAACAAAAAAAACAAAAAAACATATGGCAAGATGGGGGTGCGAAAGAAGGAATTGAGAATAATCTGCTGCTGACAATTGGCACAGCTTCTGCCCCGAATGGTCATCAAGCCCACTCACTTGAGAGGTTCTGCAACACGACAAGTGCGGGTCCAAAACACCAAGAGACATCGACTAAAATGAATCATTGTTTTTTTTTTTTTTTTTTTTTTTTTTTTTTTTCGTGTGGTAATCAGGACAAATGGACAAGTTAACCAAAGATAGCTTCTAAGGGTCTCCTTAGACACTCCTAAAAGTGCCTGTTTTTAGGATTGCGTCTTCGTTGCACGCAATCCTAAATCCAATTTCGAGATCAAAAATGTGAAAACGGCGTTAGGACGAGTCCTCAAGGATTTAGGATTCCCCAGGCAAAATCGTCCTAAATTTTCCAGTAGCCCCCGACCTACTGAAAAATTTAGGATTCCCGCGTTTCACGGAGTCGTTGCGTCGCGCGCATGGCACCGTCGCCACAAGGTTGCTTGTCCAGGAGCGTTCCGTCGGGTGGGTGGTCAGACATCGGTGGTTTTCTGCAGGTCGAGGCCGGCAATGGCCACCAGCGGTAGCCGTTGGCCGACGGGCTGGAGCGCGGCGGGGGGCAACCGTGGGCGGGCTGGCATCCGTAGTGGGTCGTTGGGTCGATTGCGGGTGGCGGAGGAGGACGACGAAGTGCGCGGGACGACATACGGAGGCGCTTCGGGCGGTGCACGGGCGGCAACGGTCGGTTTTTGAATCGCAGGCAGGCGCCTTTGTCGTCTTCCCTGCTGGTTGTCAGCATATGAAGGTCAAGCGGCCCTGTCCCCCGGCATGTCGGAACACTCGTCTGCAGTAGTCGCGTGCGAGGGTGGCTCCCGAGGTGTTGGTGCAGGTCAGGGCGGAAGACGACCACCGACTGCGGAGCCTCCACGGCGGTACGACCCATCTTTGTACAGGCAGCTGGAGTCGTGGGAGACGCCACTGCCCCCGTCGGACGAGGAGCCGGAGACGGAAGAACTTCCAACGTTGCCTCTTGCCAGCGGGTCGACGCAGCTGTTGTCGCAGACGGTGCGAGCAGGCGGGTCGGCCAGCAACGAAGGCGGCGACTTCATGTCACTGCTGCACCAAGGTTTGGGAGACGACGACGACGGAGGACTTGATCTCAGGTTCGGGTTGTGTTCTGGCGGCTCTAGGGAGGCTAGCCGTACGTTCATCATCCATGCCGATCCTTCGCCACGTGGCGTTCAACATGCTGGAAGTCAGCATACGGAGCACTCCACATTTCGCGCCGGTGCGTCCGTTACTGACGGTGTCGGGCAAACGGCAGTAGCCCGACAGCATGGATCGACTGCACCGTCCGCCGATCGATTGACAAGCACCTGCCCCGCACGCAATGGAGTCGCAGCCGGGTCCCTGTGCATCGGCGGTGCACGTCCTTCGATGACCAACCGCACAACGCCGACCCAACCCGACCTCAGGGACGAGGGCGCGTGCAGACCACCGGTGCGTCCAGGACCCACTGTGGAGAACATCACACGAGGAGTGTCAAACATGTGGACACACAGCGATGACGGCGACGATGGTGGTGGCAGTGACGATGTCGATGAACAATTTAGGGAGGACGTGGAAGCAGGGGACGACGACGACAACATTCCTATTTGGCCTTTGGGGAAGACGGGTGGGAGGGGGAGAGGACGCAGCAGAGGTGCTGTTCGTGGTCGATCCGTTGGCCGTGGTGGCAGAGGTGGCGTCAGCGACGACGGCGGGAAGTTTGCGATGTACTGGTCTCCGAAAGAGCAAATGCAACTGGTGAGCTGCAAGCGGAAGCAAGAGATGCACCTCGCCGGGCTAAGTCACAATTACGGGCGGATGCGAACCAAGGAGTGGAAGTGGGACGACATTGCAAAGCGCATGGCGAACGCGGGGAGGCCTAAAGACGCGGAGGACTGCATGAAGAAGTGGGACAATATCTTCCAAAACTACAAGAAGATATAGAGGTTTCAGAATGCGAGCGGCAAGCCAGATTTCTTCGGGCTATCGAATGAAGAAAGGAAGGAGCACAACTTCAAGTTCCGGATGGAGAGGGCACTGTACAACGAGATCCACGCAGGGATGGTGGGCAACCATACAAATTTTCCTCCGAACATCGCCGACACCGGAAGTCCGGACGGGGTGCACCTGCCCAGGCGAGGAGCGGGTGGTGGGGAGTCTGTTGGTTGTGAGGCCGGTGGTGAAGGCTTCCCTGAAGAACGTTCTTTTGCGAGGGACTCCGACATCAACGTCAGCAGTGGGGCTGGAGGCGGGAAGCGGAAGAATGCGCGTCAACAGGCCTTGGAGTCGATCGCTGATGTCATGGACCGCCATGGCGAACTGATGTCGTCGACGATCCAATCGTCTAGCAAGCGGCAATGCAGCATATTCACGAGGCAATGCGACATACTCGAGCAGGAAGTTGCAGTCCAGAAAGCGCACTACGCGGCGTCCGATGAGACTCAGAGGATGATGTGCCACACGCTTATGGAGATCGTTGCCGCCATCCGTGGTCGGTCGGCGATGTAGGGGGCACATTGTGTGTGTGTGTGTGTGTGTGTGTGTGTGTGTGTGTGTGTGTGTGTGTGTGTGAGTGTGTG